TAGACAGGATAAATAAAATCAAACTTGAACATGCTAAACCAAAATAAGTAAGCTTGATGAAAACTAAAACTAAAAATATAAATCAGGATAAAAAAGGAGTAAAGAACATAGTGCAAAAGATTTAAGAATTATGAAATTATACTAGATATTTTTACTACAGTATGTTTGAAGTTCAGAGAAATTACAAAAATTCTGAGTAAAAAGATTTCGAACTGATAACAGGTTTAGTAGTGTACTTACTAAAAATGGAAATATAGGTTCATATTAGAAAATTAGAAGACTAAAAAGCACCAGTATAATGTATTATGACATAAAATTAACATAGAGGACATATGAATTTATGCATGAAAGTTGGGAGGCATTTACAAAATATTTGAACCCTTTGGAGTTTGGAAATCCAAGAACAATATGTATCGGTAGAAACTATCATAAAAATTAACACTAACTTCATTATACAAGCTAAATATCAAAGCATTTGCCATTATAATGGCAAGGGCAATATATGAACATCAACCATCATCTCTTTTTTAAATGGTTCAATTAGCATATATTGCTAGACATAATAGTGGGCTTCATTTTGACATCATATGCATGGAACTAAATTTCAATTCAGTCTCTAGTATTTTCTCCCCTTACCCAACTCTGTCTCCTTTACTGGTTTTAATTCTATTTATTTATTTATTTATTTATTTAAATTTGTGCTTTATAGATGTGGTCTATTCATACATAGCTTAATTTGGTCAATTTAATTCCACTCTTCTCTCTTTTCTCATTCTTCTGCCTCCTCCTCTAATCCCCTTCCTCTACTACACTGTTCTCCCTTTTATTTTCAAGGGATTCAAACCTATTTTTTCCTCCTTATTTTGCTCTAGTTTCTGTATATGAGAGAAAACATTCAACAAGGCCTTAACTTTTTGAGTCCTTCATTGAGGATGATGTTCTCCAGTTCTATCCATTTACCAGCAAACGCCATAATTTCATTCTTCTTGATAGCCAAGTAAAACTCCATTGCCCCTATAAACCACATTTTCCTTATCCATTTGTCTACTGACGGGTACCTGAGCTCATTCCATAACTTGGTAATTGTGAATTGTGCCACTATAAACACTGATGTTGCTGTATAACCATAGTATGATGATTTTGGTTCTTTAGGATCAATACCAGAGTGGAATAGCTGGATACTGTGGTGGTTCCATTCCTAGGATTTTGAGGAATCTCCATACTGCCTCTTCCAGAGTGGTTGTATTAATTTGCTATCCCACCAATGATGTACTGAGTGGATCCTTTCTCCACATCCATGCCAGCATTTATTATTATGTGTATTCTTTTTTTCCCACATTTTATTGACACTTTATAATTCTGGGATTTGTTATATATTCATACATGCACACAATATAACAATATAATTTGGCTAACATCACTCTTATTATTTGTATTCTTGAAGATTGCCATTATAACTGGAGTGAGAAGAAATCTCAATGTAGTTTGATTTGCATTTTTCTGATTGCTAGGCATGTTAAACATTTTTTCTTAAATTTATTGTCCATTGTATTTCTTCTTTTGAGAAATGTCTATTTAGTTCTTTTGCCTATTTGTTGATTGGGGTAATGTGTGTGTATGTGTGTGTGTGTGTGTGTGTGTGTGTGAAGTTTCTGAAATTTTATATCTTCTGAATATTAATGTTGGGGAGTAGCTGACAAAGATTCTCTCCCATTCTGTAAGGTCTCACTTTCACAGTCTTTTTTTTTTT